GGATGAAGAAATCAGTTAAACAGATACGAAGATATGGGGAGAGCAACCTGTCAGAAATGGGTATCCGGTGAATTTAAAGGACTGAATAAGAAATTAAAAATCTACAACAGGTGAATAATCATATAGTAGAATCAGGCGAACATTTAAAAGTTAAGTACAGAATCGAAAGTGAATACTATCAGTGCAAAGAAAACTGGTTAGAAAAATATCGCCTTATATTACTTATGTGTGCGTGGGTACCGTCGTAGCAAACTGCAAAGGATGCAAACAAAAATATGTACTTCTACTGAATGATGTAAATTCCTTTTCTCAGTGGCGCGTTTTGACGCCGCGCAAGAGCTTTTTTATCAAGGTTATATTACACAATTAAAACAGCACAAAATGAAGACATTAGTTTTGAGTGAATGGCGTTTGTTCCCTTACATTCAGTGTCACTTAAAGACAACGTCATTGACCAGCGGGTCCGGAAGAAGCAATGAAATAAACGTTATTGTCACTCAAAGTTCAGTTCTTCATTTTGCTTGTATGATATAACCCAGATGAAGACGCTGTTGTGCGACGGTGACTGAAGGAAATTACAGTATAATTTTTAAATTCCTGCGTTAAACCATAAATCGATAAACGACTATCATTGATTGGCAACAGGCAACGAATCGACACTTCATTATACGGCTATTGTATTTCTTCTTCGTCAAGCTGGCAGCAGTACTTTTATGCATATTATTTTCTTCGGATGTTCTCAACACTCGTTCGTTTACTGAGTTTATCTTGGTGATTGACGTACTTCGCCAGCTTTTTTCTAATAGTGTTCAGTCATATGCAATAATAGTGGTCAGCCCGGTTGACTTGGTGGCGATGAGACGGGCTAAGAACCTTCGTAGCGTACTGTACCACTTCTAATCTGATGTTCATTCAAATTTCAGGTTCAAGTTTTTTACTAGTCTGACAAATAGGAGCAACTTTCCTTTCAGCTAGAGATGTAGAAGGTACAGAGATGTGTTATAGAACTCTCTATAGAACAACATTATTGTACAAAATACATTCAGGCGAGGTTCCGCAGGGCTAAGTTTTTGAATATCTGACTTCCTCCGAGTCCGGATGAAAAGTGGCAATCATGTGAGCTTGAACGTTTCAGTTCTGGCGTACATCGTGTTAAACTCGCTACACGTTGCCTCCACCTTGCTTGCTGCTTGCCAGCGCGTCATGTAGATAGTTGGGATGGATCATGAAGGATCTTTTTGGCGAAGGTCTCTATGGCGTTGCCAGTGTCGGTTACAGTGGCTGTCAAGATTCATTCTACGCCACATCCGCTATTCTGGCAGAAAGTCTGAGGCAGCGACAAGAACAACATAGTCGTTAACTGTAAATGCTCCGAAACACCGGAGTCGCATATATCACTGCCGGTGCTCTGCATGATCGCCAGAATTGCGTCAGCGCTTGTGATTGGCGGAACTTTCGGACGTAGAAACATGCCTCATGTGATGTGCTGAACATGGTCTGACCAGGTTACGTAGTCATCTATGGGTAGTCTGAAGTAGAGGAACGATTTCTTCTCTAAGATTGACTTACCAGCCACGCAGGACGCCGATTCCACGTCCCGAAGCACATCCGATCAGGTATTATGGAATTCTTCTGGAACTGTTGTCTGATTCCTATATGATCTGGCATATTGGGTGATTTATTGCTACATGGATTTGCATATAGGGGGTTGGCAAGTCTAATGGCTGCTCTGTCTCTTTCTCATTTGCAAAAGTAGTATTTTAAGCCTTGCGCATTTCGATTCAGGTATCTTTATTTTAAATGTAATATTTGCCTGCGAATTTGAAAAGCTGCCATTCGTGATAGCTATCTCAGAACATCAGGATATATTTGATCTTATTTTGTTTTCAAGCTCTATAGTGCAATCTTTTAATTATTATTGAGTAAAAATTTTGCGATATTATTATTATGGAGAACCACCTCTTGAAGCATTTTTTCATAATGAGTGAGAGATGCTCTCTCGAGAAAAAATGATGCAAGATTCTCAAATACCATTGTACCATAACATTTTTTGATTCTTCGTAGTCAACTGCGAGCAAGGGGGCAGTGCAGTGCCGTGAAATCTGGACTTGGAAAGTTAAGCACCATAAGTAGCGATCTTTAAAATATAATTAGGCAGTTTTTACTTTTAATATAATTCACAATTTATTGTTTTCTCGTTTATTTCAGGAGACGACGGTTTAACACAAGAAATTCAGCGTGGCGTTCTGATTAAAGAATCGGATTGTTGCTTCACGATTTGGTGCAGCGGCCGCCAGGGTTGTCAGAGCATGATGATCCAACTCAGGCTACTTAAACGGCAGGATGCGATTTCGATGATCATGCAGCTGTTTCGTCCCAAGTATGATACTGTGGTAAGGTTGTTGATGCTAAGTACGTTTAGTTTTTATTTTATTCAGTATCAATATTTTTGACTCTCAAATCACTGACAGAAAGTAAGTGTAACCATTTAGATTACATTTACAGAATGAGTGATATTTCTGACACCTCTTTCCATGGAACTTATGGTGCGATACTATTTTTATTTACAATGCCATTAGCCATATCTGTTATATGTTTTGAGGGTAGTATCTGCAGATAAGCCAAAACTGCCTGTTTCGGAAAGCAACATCTACAACTGTATGGCAACCACAAGTCCCTTCTACCGCTTGCTTCCCACGTATCTGTATATCCACAGCGAAATGACGAAATACAAGTGACCTGGTCGGAAATTTAACCGGCAAGTATCTGAGAATGGCACGACGTTGTACATTAACAGTTGATCAGTGATTTCGTCAGGTTTCGGCTGTACAGTCACACGTTTTGGTCTGAAAGCAGAAGCAGAAAGACAGGCATGGAGATTACTGACACTCAGCAAATCATCCAAAAATTTAGCAAGGTGCGTTGTGCTTAGACTCATATCAGATTTGGTGTTCTGGAGTTTGATCGACGTACTCATTGCGAATGGTTCACATCAGTTGATAATGAGATAGATATTTTGTATTTCTGATTGTGTACTGTTAATCGGTAAAAGTAGCGGGGAGTATGTTGCCTGAAACCAAAGATTTCAACTGCCTTGGTTCCATCCTGCAAGATAATGTGAAAATCGACAGCGAAATAAGAAATCCGTCGAAAAGGCGGAAATGGATAAAGGTGAACTGAATACTGTGCGACAAAAAGATGTTCAGGCGTACTGAAGAGCAAGGTATACACAACGACAAGACCGTGTTTCTGTGCGTAGCGGAACGTATGGCTACTCGGAAGAGACCCGAGCAACAGCTGAACTTGTAGAAATGCGAATGCTCAGATGGATGAGTTGTGTCAGCAGAAAGGACCACATACGAAACGTCTCCATAGGAGGCATTCAAGGGGTAGCGCCAGTTTCAAAAAAAGCTTATCGAAAGCTGGCTCCTTTAATTCAGTTAGGTGTAATGAAAATCCATTGAGTTCGTTGGAAATGTGGCCCAAGTACCGATACTGCAAGGGAAGAAAAAAGGCGAAGGTTAACGAAAATGTGCCATGATGCCGTAAACAGCGATATGAAACTGCAAAGGATAACCGAAGATTTGACCCCAGACCGAAAAATGTGCAGGCAGTTGGTTCACTTAGCGGATCCTGTTAAGAGTAACACATTACGAATAAGGACAAGGAGATTTTCTTTTTAGTTTTTTATTTAAGAAAAATTTTAATGTTAATATTAATATTTACCATATTAATGATTCAAATGATACTGGTGAAATTTCGGCAATTTTCGTGTAGCTGCAATTTGGATGTCCTTCTTTCGAATGAGGTTTGTTCCTCCCTTGTTTAGATGTGTGCGATACGTGTAGTTCAGTTGTTATGATTAATTAAGAGTTGTCATACTTTTATTGTTTTTGTTTTAGCAAATAAAAACCGTACTTTCCGGTGACGAAATGGACACGTTTGTTTTTGCCCTCGGTGAAAAGCGCACCATGGCAAAGTTGTCGAATGAAATGAGCGATCTGGTAAGACGATACATGAATGTTTTATTTCTTACAGAATGTAAAAGAAAGTTTGGAACGTAATGTGCAATTTGCCGGTTTTATGTTATCCCATTTCCTGATTAATGCTTCTTCATCTCTTCAACTTCATGCTTGATTGCTGCAGCTGCCAGGTTTCGACTTTTCCGTAGCACCTCTACTCATCAAGCAGCAAAATAAATCTGTAAAAGCCATTACATTAGTAGTATAATGACAGTCAGAGCCATACAGTCCAATCGTTCATCATATCGTTCATCTTCTGATATGTACCTGCATGCGGAATAGTTGTTTAGGATTTAAGAATTTAAAATTTTATTTATTTAATTGAATCAATATTTCAGCTGAAGTCTGCAGCCCATGAGTCAGGAATTCCCTTGGCATGAACTAGAAAACCGATAAGTCGAAGTCAAAGAATGAGTAGACGTTTTACAGATTGAATAGGGTCACCATTAAGTACAATTTTTCAGCGTGACAAAAGCAAAACAACTAATAAATAGCACAGGGTTGCTCTCATAGTAGGGTAAAGTTAAAGTAACGTATAAACATCATAATTAATTATATGTTAAGTTAAAATCACATACGAGAATCGTATATAACGCCTCACTTCTCTAAAACTACATTTAACGGCGTTTTGCAACTTCCCCTTTAAACCTTTCCTTTCCTCTAGTTGCCTGAAGGACTATTTAAGCACCCCGCCGCTCAGTCGTATTTGAGTACTATCCGTATCAGATGCATCAATTTTTTTCGCTAGAGCCATCTCGCCGTCATTCGAACGAGCTTTCACAAGCTGGTACTTTTTACGTGCCGTCGCATAGACAGCAAAGAATGTCAGATAACGCAGAACCCCTTCAAGAACAGATGGGAGAGCCGCGTAGTATAAATGTCACCCTCCTTTCAGACGGATGACGACATGACGGTCAAACGTTGGAATGCGTTGCTTTGTCAGATTACGCTTCTAATCGTCCAAGCGGTGCAACAGCTTTCAATTTTGCGATAACACCCATCAGGTAATGTTCCTGTCTTTTTGCCCGTGAGTTGTCATCGTCCGTTCATAGGGTATACGTCAAGATGGAAAGACTTGTATTTATGCACCGGGGTGCTAAAATGTTTTTAAGCTGCAAGTCTCTAATGGTTTCCTGGCCATATTACACACTATTTGACAATTAATACGCACGGCAGCTCTAAGCTCTCTTTCCTAGCTATGTAAGTAGTCCTTTTCTTTCAAACAGATCTGCCTTAGAGGACGAAAACAATTCCATGCTATTCGATATAGAATGATGGAATACGTTCGGAAATAAAATGTTAAATACGAAGCTTTCAGAA